ATCTCAGCAGTCAGGAAGTAACTAATACAGGCTCGTCTGGAAGAAAGTATTTTGACAGATACATTTAGCTACTTGTTTATTTTTAAGTAATTTGTGTGTGTGTGTATATATGTGTCATGTGTATATGTGTGTTTACGTACATATAGGCACATGTGTGTGGGTGCTTGTGTCCGTGTGCATGTGAAGGCCCCAAGGTGATGTCCAGTGTCTTCCTCGGTTGCTCTCCACTTTATACTTTCTGAGGCAGAGACCCACTAAATCCAGAGCTTGCCAATCACAGTGTCCAAATGAGCTTTGACTGTCAATGGACACAACCTAGCGTCACCTGAGAAGGGTCAGTCAGGGAATGCCCAGATCAGATTGACCCGTGGACAAGTCTGCGGGGATTGTCCTGATGGTTCATTGATGGAGGAGGCCCATCTTAGGGATTTTACTGCTGTGGTCAAATGCCCAGAACATAAGCAACCTGGGGAGGAAGGAGTTTATATTTCATTTCCACAGCACAATCAACCATTAAAAGAAGTCAGGGTAGGAACTCAAGGCTGGAACCTGGAGGCAGGAACTGCGACAGAGGCCATGGAAGACTGCTGCTTACTAGAGTTCTCCTCGTGGCTCTCTTATGGATCCAAGGACACCATCCCTGGGGTGACACTGCCCACAGTGAGCTGGGCCCTCCCACACCAATCATCAATCAAAAACCAATGCATCATAAGTATACCCAGGGGCCAATTGAAAGTCCCTTTTCCTAAATGAGAGCTGGTTGTGTCATGGTGATATAAAACTAGCTAGTATAAGGCCTTAGCCCATTGTGGGGAGTACCTTCCCTGGGCCAAAGGTCCTGGGACATTACATATGCATATGTACGGTGGAGTATAAACATACTGTACAAATATAAAGTAACTTGTTGATATTTCCACCAGGGCGTTAAAGAAGAATCACCTCCAACTCTGAAAACCATGTGGTTTTACTAGAAATTTTCATTTCTGATCATGTTCACAGGTGGTTATTAGCAAGTTGCAATGTCCATGTATATATGTGTATGTATGTATGTATGTGTGTGTGTGTGTGTGTGTGTGTGTGTGTGTGTTTGTATATGTATATATGCTGGCTAAGGGGCTGGAGAGCTGGCTCAGTGTTTAAGGGCATTTGATGCTTTTGTAGAGGGTCTAAGAATCCATTCCCATCAGGCAACACATAGTCACCTCTAACTCCAGTTCCATGGGATCCGACACCCTCTTCTGGCCTCTGCAAGCACCTGCACACACATGGTGAACATACACACACACACACACACACACACACACACACACACACACACGAATAAATAACTCTTTGGAAGGAGGAGAGGGGAGGGGTGAGCACAGGATCATTAGCATTCCTCCGTGGTTTCTGCTTCAAGTTCTTGCTAGAGCTCCTGCCCTGGCTTCCCTCAATGATGGACTGTAATCTGTAAGCAGAAATAGCCGCTGGACAAAGTGCTTAGCAGAGCAGTAGAATGAAGTAGTTACCTTAGCTAAGTCAGTTTGTAGTAGGGAATCTTCTGTGTCCCAAGTGCTCAGGTTATGGGTGGCTGCCACAGTGCCCAGCTTTTATGTGGCTTCTGTACTCAGGCCTCATGCTTATGTGGCACGCACTTTATCCACTAAGCCATCTACCTCCCCAGCCCCTAAATGATGTTTTTAATTGGTCTATTTTCGTTGTACATGGTTCTGAGTTTCACAAGGACATTTTCATTCGTATGTGTAATGTGGTTTGAGAATACAGCTCCCCTCTGCCATCCCCTTTTATGCTGGATTTATTTTCATATCTGTGAGATAAAAATGGTTAAGGAACAACTGTTCTAGCTTTGCTCTGCAATTTTGATACCAGTGGAGGTTTGGAGGAATTTGGTTTAGGGTGCCAGATAGAGTTAGATGTGAATTGTCTCCAATGTATTTGAATTGAGTGGATTTGGGCAGGCTGCAAGACTTCTTGAACCCCAAGCTTTCTCTAGTGTGACCTGAGGATAGGAAGGCTTATTTAAAGTTGTAGTTATAGAGAAAACTATATGTGGAAACAGTCCATGTTAGGAGCAGTTCTCTTCTTCTAGTTCACTCCGAATACTAATGAGCAAAGGCACCTGCTCTGTTCTGTTCCTGGTTGGCTCGTACCCAGATCTGTACATGGTGCCTGGCGCACTGTAGATACCAAATGTTGGTTCAATGCATGGACAGAATGCCTTGGTCTAATGCCCAGTAAAGTCTTTGCCTACAGTGCTATTTCTTCAGTTATTTTCTAAGAGAGATTTTGGTGCTGTCTTTGGTTTTGGTGATGTCCTTCCAAGGCAGTTAGCCCCACGTCCTGTGAAAACCTTCTGGATACATGAGAAGGCTTAATCTGCTTAGCCCATGTCCTAAGGCATGATCTGTGCCATGGCTGGGCAGTAGAATGTAGAGCTGATCTGGCCCCTTGCCTGGCTTTGTAAATGCAGGTTTATTGGAGCATGGCCATGTTTAGTGGCTTATTTATTGTCTGTGGCTGCCTCTGTATCTGACAGAGTCAGGCAGTTTTAACAGAGACCTTGTGAAATGCATAGCTCACGTTACCTGTCTTTGTATTGGAAAGTCCTGCCACTCCCGGCTCTGCAGACCACGCACTCCTCACTTCAACGCTTCAGGATTGGTTTTTAGTCTATTTTATTTTGCATGAGAGTCTCGCTACTACAAAATCTGACCTGACCGGCCTCAAACCTGCAGCAATACTCTTGCTTCAACCTCCCAAGTTCTGGGATTACACGTATAAACCATTGTGCCCAGCTCAGGATTGACTTTAACACTTTTTTTTTAATGGGTGGGAAACTAAGACCTAACAAAATGGGGATTTGGTTCAGGTCTGGATGAATCCATAGCCCACCGACTGATACCTTCCAACTCAGCACAAACCTAGTTGAAACAATCCCACCCTACTAGGCCTGACTTCCTGACAGCAGGAAGAGCAGGCTAGGAAAGGGCTTCAGAGTCGTGGTACAGCCTGGCAGCCCTGGAATTGGTCCGAAACCTAGCTCAGATCAGTCATGGGGTAAGGGCTATAGGGACTCAGTGCAAATGGAAGGATGGGTGCAGATGGGTGGTGGTGAGTTTTCCGTTGTGTATGAACACAATATTGCTTCTGGGGGGGGCATTTATGAAAGAATGACTATGATTGCTGAATGTGTCACTCACACAAGCCTTGATCTAGCATACGCAATGCATGTGCAGTGTCAGCCTGCACCTACCGCATGGATGGCTCCTACTCCAGCTACTCAACTGTGAGGGCTTTGAACTTCCTGGGCTGCTTCTCGGTGCTCTGCCCTCCCTGTTAGATCTGACTCCCAATTGGAGATGAACGTTCTTTCCTAGTAAATTCATCCTGATGGAGATTTGATTGTTTCAGGGTTTACAGGTAAAGTCCAGGGCTGCTTCTGCTGTGATCCCATCAGTCCATGACCCCTCTTCCTCCCACCCTGTTTTCAACTTTCTGATTAGTTTTCCAAGCTCAGGAACTGGTTATGACTGAACAAAAGAAACAAAATTGGAAGTCACATCTCTTCTTCTATAATCAACTGCTTACCTTGTCACTTTTACCTTGTCACTGTGGAGGACAGGTAATACTAATAACAGCGACAAAGTTATAGCCACCCATCTGGAAGTCACATACTTGGGCAATTCATCTATCTGCCAAAGGATGTACCTCATGTAAACTGGAAACGTTGTCTGTCCATTGTCATATAAAAATGGATGTTGGATCGTCGGGTTGGCAAGGGGAGAGGTGAGAAGGACCAGGCACTGAGTATTGTTCCTGCTAGCTTGTTGTCAACTGTCTCCACAGTTGCCATCGGGCAGTGTCAAAGACTCTCACTTCATCCGTGGGGAGCTGATGGTGGAAGATTCCACAGGAAGGCTGCAGAGCTGTCGGGAGGACAGGAAGGAATCAAGGCTATAATTAACTTTCTGTTTCACTGTATTCTGGAGCAGTGACCCTTATTCCTCCACAAATGAAACCCTAGAGTATAGCCTGTGGCTCGCTCACTTATCTTTCTGGCTTCTGCTGAAAATATAAACAGATTTTAAAAAAAGTTGCTTTGGTGTATGGGGGGTAGACAGGAAAAATGAAGTGACATTTGTTCTTTTGTACACTGGAACCCATGGGGGAATGATGAGTTGATTAAAATTGCAAATAATGGGTTGATTAAAATTCTCGACCTATTGTTTAATTATTTAAAGTGAATGACTCTAATACAAAATATTTTTGGTTTTGTGGTTCTTTTAGCTAATTCCTAACACACTTCAATTCTCTGTTTGGTTTGTTTGTTTTTAAGCATTAGGCAGTCCAAGTAGCTGTCCTTCATATTGTTTGCTTCTGTCTCCCATTGACCAAAGCTGTGTAGTTATATTTATGTAATGGGAACTGTGTATTCTGGACTTGAGAGAGACTATAGAGAGAAAGTTTAAAATTATGAATGACTGCTGTATTCTTTGAGTTGGGGAGGAATTGGCAAATTAGTAGAATTTTAATTTATACGGATAAAGAATGGTAGTGGGGATGGGATGACCTCCCAGGTAGGGAAAAGGCTCTGAGCGGGACATAGAAGTTGATGGAAATGCTGCTCCCTGGAGTTGTTCATACATGGTGTACTGGATATGAGCAATTCGCTAATCTGGGGAAGGAAAAAGCATGTTCACAGACCTGCTGTGTTGTAATTAGCGTACTGTCTACCCATTAGAGGAAGTAATTGTATGTGTTCTTCCTGTAGCCACATTAAGAAGGCAAGCTCCTGATGGACTGTCATCTGCACAGCTTTGTTGCTTTTTAAGTCGTGTCATTTCATGATGGGTTCTAAATTTTTGTGTGGTGGTGGTAGTGGAGATTGGAATAGTGGCGGAGGGGATTGGTGTGGGGGTGGGGGTGCATCATAAGGCCTACAGTGCATGACTGCCAATTTTGCCGAGCTCACATGTTGTACTTACTTCTGTGTCTGCCAGGGAGAAATGCTTGCTGCCTCTCCAGTTGGCTTTGGAGTCAAAGAACGTGAAGCTGGCCCAACATGCTTTGGCAGGGATGCAGGTATGACTTTTACTGGATGCAGTCACGTGATAGAAGCTGACAGACCTCTTTGGCACTGAAAGAGCCAATCATTAGCATTTTAAATGCTGGCTCTCTAAAAATGTGATTGAATCAAGACGATAGCTATATAAGGGGTAAGATCTAATAGCTTCCAGAATATCTCTGGACGCAACATTACGTGGTTGAACCTCTGTAGTCAAGCATTGATTCACAGGGACCCAGCTAAGCCCCGAGAAGTTCCTATCAGTTCCGATCTCATCTGCATTCCACATCTGTGGTTCAGTGTAATCGGGATTGATAGTAAACTAGAAAGATTTTTACATGATTTTTTCATCAATTTCTCTTATTAAATTTTCATACAATTAATATATTATACATTGAATATATTGTACATATTATACATATCCCCTGGCTTTCCTTTTCTTCCCTCCCCACGCCCATCAGTCCCTTTGTTTCCCTACACAGTTCTCGTCTATTTTTCATGCCATGTATCCACACGTGTTTTTTTTTTTTTTTTTTAATATCAAATGACACCTGCTAACCACAAATGAGAGAAAACATGGCACTTGTTTTTCTGGGACTGGCTGAATATGATGATCTTCATTGAATCCACTTTCCTGAACGTGACATGGCATTTTGATTGGTATATATCCACCATGCTTGGTAAAGAGGCTTTATAAAGATATTTCATACATGTATATCATATACTTGGACAGTATCCACCCTACTCTCCTTTCCCCTCCCCCCAGCCCCTCTGTTTCTCCTCCCCTAACTTCTGTTTCCCCTTTCTTAGCCCCCCTCCCCCATTTCTATTCTTCCCTCTAGACATCTTCCTTCTACTGACACATGTATGATTTTGTTTATGTTTCTCTCTAAAATACAAGCCCAGGAATAAGAAGAAAAAAATCATATTTGTCTTTCTGAATCTGAACTTGTTTGCTTTTTTTTTTTATTCTACAATTAGATTGGTGAATGGATTAATAGATTATGTTTCTAGAACAAAAGTGGGAAGAAAAGAAAAAGAAATTCTTTGGTCTAATCAAAAAAGTGAGGTTGCTCAAGCCCTTGTCTTTCTCCGAGCGTTTGTGTTTCACACCAGGCAGAGCGGCCCTGATCCCAACTGTGAACGGCGATGGCTGCGTAAACACATTGATTTTATAAGGCGTTTGGTCTCTAGAGACACACAGAGAAGTTCATGGCTGCAGTGACATTTGTACTTCTGCTTTCGTGTTAGCATGGGCCATTTCCCAGGATTTTTAGGCTCAGAGTCCCTATGGCCTTGTAAGAGTGAAACCCTAAGAAAGAGTCAGAAGTCAGTTCCCATTAGCCTCAGTGGATTGGAAGTAGATAACGGTATTTTAACAAACAAAAGTGTAGGAAATGTTAACGCATCATTGTTAGCGTTCTTCAAAGGCCTTTGAATTGTGGAGTTGGGCCATCCATAGAAATAAATAAGGAATTGTTTGGACCTGCTGCATTTTTCTCTTTAGTATCAGGTAGATTTCCCATCGTATTTTTCTTTTCCAATTCTGACACATTCAAAGCTGCTGTCCCATGTTTTCAAGAGCTAGCTTAACTGCGTTCTGCTGGTGATTAATGGCCAAGTCTTCCTTTTATGAGTCTGTCCCTTGCTCCCTATGACCTGGTAACTTGAGACACAAATGCAGAGCTTCCAAGCCTTTCTCACTGTAAGACAGTTTCTCTATATATGAACTTCAGCTCTGGACTGCTCTGAGGGATACTATAAGGCTTTAAACGAATCCCTACTGCAGCTAACTTACAATGGAAAAGAACAGATTGGGCCAAGAATAAATAAAGTCCTATGAGTCTCAGTGGGAAAAAAAAAATACCCATTGCACAAGTTCAGAACACCCTAATGGTAGACCTTGTGGGTGAGAATTGGGGTTTTCAGGGTGAGACAGCATAGCAGGACCGTGACTGCCAGCACACTTCTGACTTGAGAATGTGACTCAAGCTGTGTAGCACTCTCCAGGGTCAGGCCATGCCGAAAGCCCTTTGCTCATTCCCAGGGCCACATTCTTCATGCACTTTGGATGCTTCATCTCTGTGGCTCTAGAGAAGTGTGAGGGAGTAGAATTGCAGGCTCATAAGCATAGAAGTAGTTTTGGAAAAATAAGCATTGTCCCAAAGTAGCGAAAAGCCTAATCCACTCCCTGATGTCCTCATGCAAATGAATTCCTTCATTTTTCTAGTGGGATATATAGTCAGGTTTGTGGATTTAGGAATAATTTCTGGATAAATGAGGCTCATGTTAGGTAATCAAAACATAGATATCTGAAAAATGAACTTGTGCCCTCAAGACCTTTTCCTTTCATGTGACAAAACTTACATTCAGTGAAAGTGTGCCTGGGAGTGACTGTTTTGTGGGGTGGGTTCCTCTTTGCACACTCATTCTTTATTCCCAACTGCCTGAATAACCTAGATGGCTAGCACACAGCATTTTACTGGCTGAAATGCAGAATGAGTTACCTAGTATTACAAAGATACCTTTTCCAAAGCCCATTCTTCTGAAGTGCTGTGCATTTTTTCCTTTTAATGGTACATAGCATGAGTTCTTGCCTGACCTCCAGCTAGATGCTCCTGAGCTAGAAAAATGAGCATTGTACATAACAAGCTATAACAGAAAAGGCTGCAATCACTGCCTTGTGCCTCTTCACAGAAGCTCCTGGCAGAAGAGAGGTTCGTATCCATGGAGACAGACTCGGACGAGAAGCAGCTGCTCAATCAGATCCTGAATGCCGTGAAAGTGACGCCTTCGCTCAATGAAGACCTGCAGGTGGAAGTGATGAAGGTTGGTTTGACATGGGAGCCATTGTGCATCAACGGGAAAGAGGCACATGGTGACCCCGGCACTTACTATCTCAAAGCTGCCTTTCGGTTGTGACTGTATCATTGCAGTACAGTCTTCTTTTCTGGAACAGACGCTTACCATCTTGGCTGTGGTCCTCCAAGCTCACCTTGACTGTTTAGGAGTGACAAGGGACAGCTTTGATAAGTAAGGCCTCTGCCCTGATCTGACATATCAAATGTGTGTAGTTTCAGCATGGAATCAGCCTGACCATCTGGGTATTATGCCTACCTGTGTGCACTACACCAAAGCAAAGAACTAATCATGTTTGCCGTAGACTGAGATTTAACATGGCCGGCTTGGCAGCAGGAAGGCTACCCTTCAGAAGCGTATCAGAATTATGATTTATTTTCTCCCTCAAATTCTATCAGCCAGACCTGAGGAGGTAGCTCAGTGGAGAAAGTGCTTGCTGAGCAAGTGTTAGGACCCAAGTTTGGATCCCTAATACCCTAATGGAAGACAGGTAAGGTAGCATTCATCTCTAATCAAACACCAGCCGTGGGGCAGAGATAGGCAAGTCCTGTGGGCTTCCTGGCCAATCAGTCCTAGCCAAGCGATGAGTTTCTGGTTCATTGAGAGAACCTGTTTTAAAACTAAGGTGGAAAGAAATAGAAGTCAACTTCTGGCCTCCACGTGCATATATGCAACAGTGTACACTCATGCCTCTGCCTCCCACAGCTGCACAGATGTGCACCCCCACCCCACATACACAGGCACCCATGTATGCACCCCCACACTTACAGATTATATCAGTCCTATCTCCCTCCTCGTCCATTACCACCTCCCTTTAGGGATGGTATCTCTCCTTTCCATCCTTCATTCTGAAAAATTACCAAAATAAGGAATCTATCATTCTGATTGGCATGTGTCGTGATCTGTAACCAAATGCTGGGTAGGAAATGGTGGACGTTGCCCTAGAACAACACTGTGGCCACAGAAGCACAGCATGAACTAACAAGATGGCTTTTAGCACAGTCGGCTCTTTTCCTCCCTAAAGGAACATGTGTAGAAGAATGTTCGAGAACAGATGGTGTCTGGTAGTGGTTGACTTTTTCCTAAACATGCACCATAAGGATCTGTCTTAGACAAAGCATTCGATGTTGAGGTTTCAGTTTCTCCACCGGAAGAGATTGTCTTCAGTATTGCCCCAGTTTGACATGGTTGGTGAGGAGAATAGGTACTGATCAGGAACTTAGTCTCTGAAGTCTGCTTGCCTGGTTTGACCCTCCTTCCATTCACAGCAGAACATCTTGGGAGAGAGCCCTTCACCACTCTGTCTTGACTTTCTCGTCTTTGTTTTCTTTGTTTGTTTTGTTTGTTTTTCTAGACAGGATGTCTCTGTGTAGCCCTGCCTGTCCTGGGACTCACCCTGTTGACCAGGCTGGCCTCAAACTCAGGGACATCATCTTCTTTCCTATTAGTGCTGACCCAATAAGGTTCTTTTTAGTACGAAGCAAGGCAATGTTTATAAACACTTGGCATGCGATCTGTCAAAAAAAAGTTCTCTGGAAAGTTCTATGTTCCTGATGCTGCCACTGCTTCCTGCTCCTTTTCAATGGGCACCGATGAGATGGGCCTAGGGGTATGCACTTTTCTCTAGTGTCTCAAGTGAGTCTTAGAAATCGCAGACAGTGAGACCCTGCTGGCTGGTTTTTCCAGTCTCATTTATCTTTAACTCTCTTTGCTTCTGCAGCATGCAGTTGGCCTTCTCATATATATATATCAGCTATGTGCTATGTACTCATATAAACCAGGTTATAACCACCTCTAGATGTGTTTACTTCTCTATGTGGAAGCCAGAGATTGATATCAGATATTTGTTGTTAGGGGTTTTTTGGCTCTTTTGGGGGGCCTGCCACCCAGCTCCCAAATAAATCACACATGGAGGCTTATTCTTAATTATGAATGCCCAGCCTTAGGTTGGCTTAGTTTCTACCAGCTTTCCTTAATTTAAATTATCCCATCTACCTTTTGCCTCTACGCTTTTCCCGTTCTCTTACTTCTGTAAATCTTTTACTCCATGACTTGCTGGTTGTGTAGCTGGGTGGCTGGCCCTTGCTGTCCTCCTTTTCTGGCTCCTAGCTCTCTCCTTCCAGATTTCTCCCTCTATATATCCCCTCTGCCTGCAAGCCCCACCTATCCTTTCTCCTGACTTGCTGTTGGCCATTCAGTTCTTTATTAAACCATCAGGTATTTTACACAGGCACATTAACATAGCTTCACAGAGTTAAACAAATGCAACATAAACAAAAGTAACACACCTTAAAGTAATATTCTACAACAGATGTTTCCACTGATTATTGTCCACCTTGTGTTTTGAGACAGGGTCTCTCACTGAACTTGGAGCTGGCCAATATGGCTACACTATCAGGCTAGCAAGTTCCAGGGAACCTCCTGTCCCTGCCAGCACTGGGATTACAGATGGATGCTGCCCACACCATGGGTGCTGAGGATCCGAGCTCAGGTCATCACGTTCTCATGGGTAGCGCTTTTCCTATTGAGCAATCTTCCCAGCCCATCTCTGTGCTGCTCTTGGAGAGATCAGGAATACAAGGAACATACCTAAACATAATAAAGGCAATTTACAGCAAGCCAACAGCCAACCTCAAAGTAAATGGAGAGAAACTCAAAGTGATTCCACTAAAATCAGGAACAAGACAAGGCTGTTCATTCTCCCCATACTTATTCAATATCGTACTCAAAGTTCTAGCTAGAGCAACAAGACATTGAAAGGAGATCAAGGGGATAAAAATTGAAAAGGAAGAAGTCAAACTTTCACTATTTGCAGACGATGTGATAGTCTACATAAGTGACCCCTCCCATCTCTTTAGCACATCTGTCAGTGAATCAGATTTCCTTTGGGCGGTCTCCTAGCCAGGTGACTGACCGGCCCAGTCAGATTAATTCTTCAGGGAGAAATAGTAACATTCTCTCTTTGAGGGGAAATCAGAATGTCATGTCTGTACCCAGGGCCAGAGGCAGAACTCAGATTCCATTCTTCTGTTCAGGAACTAGTAGCTTTCCCTTAATGGGCCTTAAGAAGTCCTTAATAGTGCCACCACTTGATACAGCATTTTAAATCCCAGGGAGGGACAGTTAAGTTCACTTTTCTCACTTGAGAGGTGCTGTCTCTTTTCAATGGCCTGTAAGCCAGCTAACTTCCTGTAATGCAGGGTTTTATTTTATTATTATTATTTTTTTAAATGTCTATCATGGATTTTATTTACATACTTACTAGTAGTGTTTATGAACATAAGAAATTGAACCAGGTCACACTCCAAAGAATGTGTAACCAGAATATTAAGTTTCTGGAGAGAAAAATATGTGTTCTCTTTTAGCGATTTTCAAAAGAACAAACAAAATTAGCTGATAATGAAAGCCAAGATTTCAAGGAAAGCAGTTTGTCTCACTTAGAAGATTCTAGAGTTTCAGTCAAAGGGTTAAAAAAAATCAGTGGTGCTTGGTTCTAACAAATTAAATAGGAATGGTGTTAAATCACTTATTGTGGGAGCTGTTCCACACAGTTTCGCTGTTTAGGGAGAGAGAAGGCAAATTTGATTTACTGAAATGGCCATGGAATCCCAATAAAAATTTTATAGCTTGAACAAATAAAGTGTCAGGATTCTAAAGAACCCCAGAAAGAAGGTTTCTCTAAAGATAGATTACCTATGAAATGGATTCCTAGATGGCAGGAGGCTATTTAATATTTAAGCTAAATGTGTGTCTGCTTTGGTAACATTTTCCCCTCGCATGCGTCATTTCCATAAATGCCACTCAGAATTTACAAGGAGCCGTGGATATAACTGACGGCGTTGCTGACTGCAGTAATTAGGTCTTTCCTTCTTTGTAATGGATAACCTTTAGTGAGGTTATTAACTGATACAGCTGGCTTAGCCTTCAAAGACTGGAAGGAATTATGGCTGGCCTTCTGCCTCAGGAAGCCAAGGAGAGAGACGTGTGCATCCTATCTAGAGAGTGCAGACTGGCTTTGGCGATAAAACAGGATATGATACGTGACCCTCTAAAGCCATTTGATGAGAGTTCTACTATTGGATGTATTATTTTATGTACATCCTCCGATAATAGAGATGAACGCTAGTGGGGTAATTATAATTTTCAAAGGAGAAATGACAAGGGCTGATTATTTAAAAGTTATTATGTGTCAGACACTTCGCAAGTACCTTACATTCATACCAAGGTCATACAGCTAGTATTGAGCCATAATTCAGCCTGAGGGGAAATCTATTCTCTTAAACAGTGGATTCCCTTCTCTGCTACATCTACCCTGACAGATCTGCAGGTGGTAGACATTACTGTTCCATTGTGTAGATGGCCGAACAGAAAGCTTAAGGCCCGAACTACTGAAGGGAAAAGCTGGGAGTAGCTGAAAGAGTCTTGTGTTTTCTGTATCCCCCTGGAGAATTAATCTGCCCTCCTTCACTCTATGAGATTCAAATTGGGTTTTGCAGTCTGGTTAATCAAGTTCTAACAATACAAAGTAAGGTGTCATGTACAGCCTCTGACAACAGCACATTGAAATGTCATGCAGTTTTTATAAACATTGGCTTTTGTCTAATGACCTGGAGGCAAAGGCATTGAAGAAAAATTGACCTGTGTGTGTGAGAGAGAGAGAGAGGGAGAAGGAGAGGGAGAGGGAGAGGGAGAGGGAGAGGGAGAGGGAGGAGAGGGAGAGGGAGAAGAGGGGGAGGGGGAGAGGGAGAGGGAGAGGGAGAAAAGGGAAGGGCCTTGCATCTACCATCAAGTGTTTTTATATGACAGAAGCCTGACTCCTCCGGAACATACAAAGGTAAGGAAATCCTGAATGTAGCACTTATGCAGTTTGGTTGGCAGTTCTGAGCCTTGGCGTGTACACTTGGAACTCTGCTCTCAGAAAGCAGGTAAAGCATGCTTCTGAATGTGCACCAACACTACAGTCAACCTTT